ACACACACACACACACACACACACACACACACACACACACACAGTTTCAGACTCGTGTATTTGAAGCAAACACACGAGTCTGACCTGAATCACAGTAAATCCAGTGAACGTGGATCTGGGACTTTGACTAACGATCAGTTAAACATGGATCACTGAGAACCAGGATGTCCTGGTGGTGCGTTCACTGACAGTATGGAGATTCTTGTTCAATAATAATAATCCCACGTGTCATGGACCCAGCAATGTGTGCCTGAGTTTTTGGTTTTTGTCAATGTAAACTGACTGACATATTTGCATTATTCTTGTGAATTCTTATTGGCCGTTTTTATTTAATACCGGTCAGGTGACCCTTTTTGGGTTTAAAAAGGATGCCGAGTCAACGGACGGCTGGGTGTCAGAACCTTCCTCCACTGAAGCGTCCCGCTCAATGGAGGAGGACATAATTGAAATTGGAGACTCTGTATTGTTTGTTCTAAGCTAAAAGATTATTCTGTCGTCTTTGTGCACTTTAAGCCTGTTTTCAACTGTTTTCTTTCCTTTACATGGTTCCTGCACAAACGTCTTCTTATGTGTATTTATTGATTATTGACCATTGGCTCCAGTTTAAAATAGCCCAATATCCTAATACCTCATTTGTATTAACTCATTAGTGATTCATCCTTGTTACAAATGTCATGCTGAAGCTAACAGCACGGAGCAGCAGGTCAGCTGATCGCAGCCTGCACACAGAAAATTCTGCTGGTAAAACAAACAAGTTCGATTATTTCTAATTCTCAGAATCAGCTGACGTGTTTCACCTTCAGACCGTTCCAGAGTCGGAGGCCTCTGCTTTTTGGGCCTCTGCACTGGGATGAGGGGTCTGTAAACGGCTGGGAGGCAGAGCAGTTAATGTGCAGGAAGAAGATTGTTGAGCTTGTTTTGTTATCGCAGCAAGCAGGAAATGCCCCCCCAGGCCGTTTTCTGCACAAACACGAGCTGGGACAGCACAGGAGGCAGAAATCTTCACGTTTCCCCAGAACTCAAATCTATAGACAGAGAAGCAGAGTTTATGGAGCTGCTGCCCCCTGCTGGTCACATCTGCAACACACAGCCTGGGCTCAAAGTAGAGACTGCAGGGAGAAAAACACAGGAAAACATTCAAAAAGCACCCACGTCAAAGAAAAATGAATCAAAACATCACATAAAAAGGTAACCATTAAAAAAAATACACGTGGCACAAATGAGCCCAACTAACAAGAATCCCACAAGACGAACATTTGGAATTTTTTTGTTAGCCTTCAGGCAATAATTCTGATTAGTACAGGACAGGCAAAAAAAAGAACAAGGAACAACAGTGACCGAGTATTAATCACAAAAACAAAGAATAGCCACAATAAAATGAGTCAAAACGGCATAAAAAGCAAAAGCTCAACGAAAACCACACTTCCTCAAAATCATGTTATCCACAATAAATCACACAGATAACACAAATATGGCCCGCACGTGCACAATCCCTCATTAGTAGTAGTAATCTTCATTTTCTCATTCCTCCTCCTCCTCCCCCCAGCTCTGAAACAATGCACGGAAACGATCCCCACCCAGAAGACCAGCTGCCCCCTCCTGGCTCCGGCTCCAGGTCGGCCTCCGTCACTGCGTCCTGCTTCACTTCACCTTAATCAGCTGCAAACATGAGAAAATAAAAGTGTCAGAGTGAGACGAGGCCCCATACCTCGAATAAAAATCCCAATAAAATCAGCTTCTACTAAACGGATTTTAAAGTAGAGTTTGTTTCAAATCCAAACTGAATTAAACAGAAAATCATGAAAATAAAAATCGAGTTTTAGTTTCTACATCTCAGCCAAGATCAAGACTTTCATTCTTTTAAATTTCTCTGTATTTTAGTTTTGTCTAAAAATGTGCATCAAACAGGTACACAGCAGTGCCCTGTGTCCTGCTGCAGGAACAGCGACCTCTGCTGCCACAGCTGGGTACTGCACACAAACTAAAGTTTAAGAGGAGCAAAGTTTTAAACAGACCAGGACAGAGACGGAGGGACGTTCGGCTTCAGTCTGGATAAAAATGAAAATCTTTGGCCTGAAGGAGCTGCTCAAAGAAAATGTCCTCAGGTTCAGGTCGAACACTCACAGCAGCTGCAGCACAAACAGAAAGGAAGGAGGCGGGTGGATTTCCCCTCCTCTTATCACTCTGCACAAGCACAGACCCTGAGTCAGTGAAGGAATCTTACCGTACCGTGTTCCCACAGAGAGCAGCAACAACAGGCACAACGCCCACTGAAGCCTTTTATCGAGCGGCTCAAAGACATAAAGTACCTCAAAGTATTTAATAAAGCAGGTAAATAAATCCAAAATGCTACAAATGCAGAAAGCTTTTCACTCACAAAAAGGAAAGGGCAAAAAAATGTTCAGAAAACATTAAATGAACTGAAAATGTCTCTGCATGAAAGAGTGTCGATCACATTTATTGATCCGTTATAAACACAGAGCTGGACCCGGTCGGAGGAGGAGGGGAAACGTGACTAAACCCTTTCCTCCTGCAGAGGAAACAGGAGGCGTGACCTCCTCCCTCCCCTCCTCCTTCTCTCTCCTCCAGCTGTTTAAAACCGGCTGGCGCGTGAGCCACACAGATGCAGACATGACGGCAGTGGGAGAACTGGTGCTGGTGCTGGGATTACTGGTGAGCGCTCACTGCGAGGTGAGAGCACGAGACCCCGAGGTGGAGGAGGAGGAAGGGGAGCTGGGAGGAGGAGGAGGAGGAGGAGGAGGAGTGTTCCCCCTTCACCCCAGGACGACCGAGACCAGCCCACTGGGAGAGACGGGGAGCAATCCGGCCCGATCCGGGTGAGTCCACAAACCACTGCCTCCTCACTCTGCAAAAGAAAAATAATTTCATAGAAAAAATGTTTTTTTGTTTCAGTGAAACTTTTTGTTGCTGTGAAGGTTTTTTTTGATTATTTTGGATCCTATTATTTATTTGGCATTTCTGCTTTTTGTTTTCATAGTTCTGGAACATCTGTTCATTTCTACTCCTTCATGGTTTAATCTTTATTTTGCAACCCCCTTATTTGTGAGTTGCACCACTTTGTGCTCATTTTGCATCCCCTGTTGTTTTTGTAACATATCATTTTGTTTATTTTGAGTTTGTGTGGTAATTTTGCATCCCGTTCTAGGGTAGAATAAATCCACCTCTCTTTGGTGTTGGGTCTCAACACGTTAGCACGAGGCTTGAATCAGCGTTTGTGTCGATGTGCTCAGAAATAAGACGTCTGGTTGGGATAACATTTCCTGCTCTTGCTTCCTGTGGAACATCAGGAACAATGAGAGCGGCTGTGGCACTGAAGGCTGTGACTTTGGAAGAGGCGTCCTCTGATTCAGATGAAGCTTAAGATAATCTTTGGTTAGGGCTGTGGACTCACAGTGAGCACGCTTAGTTTGCAAGGAGAAGCTCTTTGTCTTTGCCTTTGTGGCTGTTCTGCAGTTTGTTTTGTCGGCATGTTCAGACACGCTCACCGCTCTGGACCTCACACGCTGATCTGCATCTTCTTCATGTGCAGGGCCTCCTCTTCATCAGCTCTTTGTGATAGGTGTAAAGTTGAGAAACAGCTTTGCCCTGTTGACTCTGTCATGCCGGCATAATTTTAACAGGCTGCAAACACATGCATGATTCATGTCCCCTTAAAGCCTGTGCTCCAGCTGATGGTGAAAGAAGTCCTTTATTCAGAGTCCCACCAACAAAGTGTAGTTCAGATATGAGACGGGGTCTGTGAACACATCAATCTCTCATATCTTTGGACTTGAGTAAACATCTCCTGTCTAATTCTGCATGTCAGCACTTTGGTTTCTAATGGCTTTGTCATCATTTTGCATCCCTCTTTTACTTTGCTTGTGATTGTGGTGTCTTTGCATCCATCTGATGTGTGGTAGTTTTCTTATTTATGCCTCCCTGTCCTGATTTTGGTGTTTGTTTGTTTTCTTCCCATTTTGTGAACATTTTGTGTCCCGTTTGGTTTGGCTTCTCTTTGAGGCCATTTTATAGATTCACTTGATCCTTTTGCAGCACTTGTATTTAAGGTCATTTTATGGGTTCAGTTTAATTATTTTGAATCACCTCTTTGACATTCATTCATTTCTTCTGTTGCGATGTTACTTCATGTCTGCTTGACTTTTTAACTTGACATTTTTCCTCTTTTATGCTCATTTTGTCTCCCCTTCTTCATTTTACACATTTGGCTGTACTTCCAGGTCCTTTTGGAGTAACTGTGACATTTTATCATTATTTTACTTGGTTTGTTTTTGAATTTGTAGATTTTCTTTCTTGTGTGCACATTTAAGCAGCTTTTCAGTGATTTTACAACTTTCTTGGGGCCATTTAGCATCCCCCTGTTGGTAGTTTTGTGTCTCGTTTGAAATGCCTTTGCGTTCACTTTTAAGAGTATTTTCTAAAAGACAACAGTTATATAAGGGAGAACTCTCTGACAGTGAGGATTATCTTACAGTGTTTGTTTTTCCTTCAGTCACATTTCATGATGTCTTAAGTGGAGTGGACGCTGAGATGTGGAACATGTTTGTTGGAGCTGAGACTGACAGACTAAATAAGAGGATTAAATCTCCAAAAGGGTGACTTTTTTTGTTTTTGGAGTACGCTCAGAGGCCTCGGTCATTATTCCGACCCACATCCATCGTACAGATTCCCAGATAAAACGATCCCCCGGGCTCTCAGCAAAACAACCCTCTATTAGCTCTTTAAGTGTCCCCATCAGCCCCCATCACCACAACGCTGCTTTAATCACACAGGCGGAGCTCTTTGTGCTGTAACGATAACAGCTCCTTTCCTCACGGAGTCGGAGGGCGGCTGACTGTGTACATTTTCATCAGAGGTCAAAGGTGAACGGATAGTTTTTGATTCCTTCATGTCGAGGCTGCCGACGTTTTCAGGTCGTTTAAAAAAGATCAGCTCGAAACTGCAGACGTGCTGCAGGAACATTCAGACCTTGAAATAAACACTTTATTGTATTTTATTCAGTTTTTTTATTTACATTTTCTCTTAACAAGATGAGCTCTCTGTTTTTTCTTCTTTTTCTTTAACCCTTTGACGTTATTTGAACAAGATACTACACTGTGCAAAAGTCTTGAGCTGGCCCTCATTTCTTGACAGTTTACTTCCAAGAACTCGGACTTCCTTCCCGTCACAGTTCTCCGGCTTCCTGAAGCTCTTCCAAAGTTCTTCTTTGGACATTGGCTGCTTTTTCACCCATTTTCAGTCCAGTCCTCACACCTGAGAGATATTTTTTGAATCTTGGTCATATCAAATACTTACTTCCAAGCTAAACTGCTCCATGTGTTTACATGGGAAGACTGTTGCACAGTGCTGTGTGTAGATGCATGCTGTGCTTTTCGTCTGCCCTCTTGTTATAGAATTTTGAAATTATGTGTCTGCAGGAGAAAATGGACTGAGCGCGCTCAGATATTTTAATTCTTTCTCTTTGTGTGCTTTATGTGCGCATGCCTCCAGGTGACTGTCATCAGCGTTCAGATAACATGTCCTCCTCATCGTCAGCGCTGTAATCGATGATCACGCAGGTGTGTCAATCTGGTATAAAAATAATGGTGCAGGATGAGAAGTTTAAAGTGTTTAAGGGCTGAAGATGATGAGATCAGGCTTGTATCTTCCACCACGGTCACATGTCTGAGCTGCACATGCTGATGGGTGCAAAACATAATTTAATATTCATCGTGCTTATTTAAAGTGTGCACAAAGTCTCAGGAGAGCACCGCCGGTTCATCCAGCACCGTCTGCAGCCACATTTTCATTAAACTGACTGCAGACCCTCCTGATCTCAGCAGGATGAAGCCTTCGCATCTTCCAAACTTCACGTTGCTGAGAGTGAGCTCTGTGTGGTGTTATGACATATCCGTCCTGACCTCCTGCAGCTTCGTTATTCAGATCGAGGCTCTTTCACAAACAGCCTTCAGATATGAACCTGAACTCTCGGCCTGCAGCAGGAACCTCAGCGGCCTCGGCTTGTTTTCCTCCGTGTCTCTCGGGATGACTCTTCCTCGGAAACGCTAAGATCTTGATCTTGTACGCTCACCAAAACAAATGCGCACACAGCTAAACGCGGCGGTTTGACAGACCACAGCTGTGACGCCGAGCAGATTTGAGGATGTTTGGTCCACGATGTTTAAAACACAGTGACACCTCCTCCTTAGAAAATGACTGACAGAGTGAAATTAAACCCACTGACTGTATGTTTGTGTTGGAAATGCCCAAATCTCTTCAGGCTGACTCACACTGAACATGTCAGTGCTCCTCTTAAAAGTTCAAAAACACACTGTAACATCTGTTGCCGACAAAAAAACCAAACAGCTTAATAAGCTGATAAGATGACAGCCAGGAACGAGTAAAACTATTACAAAATGCTGTTATTAATAATGCAACAATAATTATTAATAACTGCATGGAGACACAAAATTACTTGAAAGATGGAAAATGATCACAAGTAGAGACAAAATCTCAAGAGGATGGAAAATAAAAACCAAATGACAGGAAAAAAATACTATGAAGGTGTAACATGATCACAAAGAGACACCAGGTAACTGGAAATGGGAGCATTTGTTAAAAAAAGAGATGCGCAAGACATGAAAAGGGATGCAAAATGAGGGAAAAGGCTAATAGAAAACGAAATAGTAGAAAATAACGACAAAGGGATGAAAGTTTGTGCAAAGAGATGGAATATGGCCCAAAGTTAACCACAGGTCTAATGATGAGAAATAAATTACCAGAATGAATGATGAAGCACCAAAGGGATCCCATTATATAAAACTGGTGATAAACAGATTGGTATCTTTACTGCCTCAGTTTTTGAAGATTCTTGAAAAACTATTTGCAAACAAACTAGATTCCTTTATTGATAAATATGATTTATTGAATGATCATCAGTATGGCTTCAGAAGAAACCGCTCAACATCTCTGGCTGTGATGGAATTTATTGAAAATATTGCAACGGCTGTGGACGAAAAACAGTTTGGAATAGGTGTTCATTGATTTACGTAAAGCCTTCGATACGATAGATCATTCGTTACTTTTACAGAAGTGTGAAAGGTAAAGAGGTGTTGCACAATTTTGGTTAAATAGTTACTTGAATAATAGGTTCCAATATGTGAGTATTAATAACATGAAATCTAAACTTAGAAAAGTAACTTGCAGAGTTCTGCAAGGATCTGTTTTGGGACCTAAGTTATTTTTACTTTAAATAAATGATATTTGTACAGCCAGTGATGCTTTAAAATATGTGGTGTTTGCTGATAGGACATAAAAAAATTACGGAAAACAGTGGAAACAGAACTCATGTAATTAAATAGATGGTTTCTATTAAATAAACTATCACTGAGTGAAAGTAAAACAAAATTTATGTTATTTGGAGGTAGTAAAAGTAATATTAAAGTAAAATTGAATTTTAATAATGCTGAAATTGAAAGAGTATATGAGACAAAGTTTTTAGGAGTAATTAATGATGATAAACTTTGTTGGCAGCCCCACATAGAACATGTGAAACGGAAATTATCCAAGTCTATTTCTATTCTTTATAAAACAAGAGATTCTTTGAATAAGAACTGCCTTGATTTATTGTATATTTGTTTGCCTTATATGACCTATTGTGTGGAAATAGGAACACATAGAAAACCTATTTGGATTCAAATCAAATCAAATCACTTTTATTGTCACATCACATGTGCAGGTACATTGGTACAGCACATGTGAGTGAAATTCTTGTGTGCGAGCTTCACAAGCAACAGAGTTGTGCAAAATACAAGAATGGCTACATCTGAAACTAATAAAT